ATAGATAGATAGATAGATAGATAGATAGATAGATAGATAGATAGATAGATAGATAAACAGATAGATAGATAGATAGATAGATAGATAGATAGATAGATAGATTGGTAGATAGGTAGGTAGGTAGGTAAATAGATAGATAGATAGATAGATAGATAGATAGATAGGTAGATAGATAGATAGATAGATAGATAGATAGATGGATTGATAGGGAGGGAGGGAATAAGTAGATAGATAGATAGATAGATAGATAGATAGATAGATAGATAGATAGATAGATAGATGGATGGATAGTAGGTAGGTAATTAAGTAGGTAGGTTGGTTGGTTTGTAGATAGGTAAGTAGGAAGGTTGAAGGGTACGTAAACAGAGCCAGTAGTTATGATTATCAATCGCGCAGGTAGAGGAGTGGATAGTTGGAGGAATGAAAGGATGGAGGTATAGGGGAATCTAAAGGTGGATGAAGTGGATTGACAGATGGATGAGCATAAGAATAATAGGCTACACTGAAGAAAAAAGGTAGATACATCGAAAGATGAACAGGCTGATAAATGAATAAATGAATGAATTAATTAATGGATTAATGAGTGGATGTATGAATGCATGCATGGGTGAACGAATGGATGGATGGATGAATGAATGAATTGCAAAAGTAATGAATGAATGAATAAGTGAAGGCAAAAGTAGAGTGGTGTCGGTGGCCTAGTGGTTAGGCTACCAGACTCCTAACCGTGAGGTTGCAGGTTTATGGGTTCGAGCCGTGGGCCCAACGTTATGTCCTTAGGAAAGGCACTTTACACGAACTTTCCTCACTTTACCCAGCGGAAGATCTTGTCAGTATATTAGTGTTTTAGCGCCTATAAATGGTCGCCTGCACTGTATGCTTCCCAGGAAGTTGAGGTTGTTTCAGAATGCTCTCAGGTCTGCTAGGGTCATAGTATAGATTATGAAGCGCTTAGAGCTTGCTGTTGAGGGGGGACTTGCGCAATACAAATTCTTATTCTTCTTATTATTATTAAAGCAACGATAGAGACAATATTTATGATAAGCTTAGTTTACATTTCAGGTCCATAATCAAATTAACCTAGCAATGCGCACACTACTAAAAATGAAATTCAAAATGGTCGCTTTCATTTCTTTCATATTGCATGACTTCCTTTTGAGGTTATATTGCTAACCTATACACAAGGCAATCTGTTTTTCTCATAAATCGATCACCCCAGAGCTCCCCGAAGGATGTCACTCTGAATAACAGTCAAGAAAGGTCATGAGGTCATATTACACTGACGTCAGAGGGATGGTTGTAAGGACGGGAGTGTAGTGGCAGCTAATAATAATGTCAGGGAAGTTATTATTAGGAAACCTGTATTCACATGTTTGTGGTCCCCTTTTCATCCTCGTCTATGTCCTTTTTTCTTCTTCTTCTTCTTCTTCTTCTTCTTCTTCTTCTTCTTCTTCTTCTTCTT